GTAGAGTCAACTTGATATTCCATTCCAGTTCCACTCAAATATTCCCATTTTACAATAATTTCAGATTTTGAAGGTAAACAAGAAGGTAAGGTGATTAATTTTCTTACAATCAAAGGCAATGAGCTTGTTGAAAGTGAAAGGCTGTCACTTCCTTCAATAGAAATGACAGGTGTTGCATAATTCAACTTTTGGAATGTGATTTGCTTGGATGAGGATGTTTTCAAACTTTGGCTTGTAGTTGTCAGTTTGAAAGTATGACTTCCAGCATTTATACTGTCATAGGTGATTGACAGTTTGCTTGAATTATTGTTTGGAAGTGTCATCATGTTGGAAGATACAATTTCCCATTTATAGGAAATTTGTTTTCCATCTGTGGAATAACTTTCACTTGCATCCAATAGAATATTTTCACAACTTGAATATGTTGTTTTTTGAGAAATTAAAATTGTTGGTGGAATGGGATTTTCAGCATTTCCAATTTTGAATGATTGATAATCATTTCCTAATTTGTTTCTATTAAACACATTTCTATTCAATAAAATTTCTTGATCAACTTGAATAGAATTATCAGTTCCCAATTCAATAATAAAATCATTGGATGTCTTATTAGAATATCTACAAACTACATTTGAACCAAATGAGGAAATACTTGAAGAATCTAATAAATTGTTACAATCAACATTTAAGGATGTGAAATGATTTGGAGAGGTCATTTGGAAAAGTAATCCATTTCCTTCATTATTGAAATGTACATTGGACAATTGAGTCATGCAATCTTCTCCATAAAATCCATCATTGCAAGTATTACAATTAGTTCCATTCCAATAACCGTTAGTTTCGTCTTGGAAACAAGTACAGAAACCATAGTCATCACATGTACCATGTGAATTGCATTTCAATGTAGCATTACACTTTTCAATAACAGTACAATTAATTCCAGAGTATGGAATTTTACACTTGTCACAATTTGTTCCAACAAAGTGACCATCAATATCATTATCAAAACATGAACAGTTATTTGGAGCATTACATTTACCAACTCCATTGCAAACTTTCTTTGAATTCGATGAAATTCCATAGCAGATTGGATACTGACATATTGGCCCTTCGTAACCTTCCTCACAAAAACATCCAACAGTTGACATGTTGAATTTACATATACCATGTTGAGAACAAACTTTTGGATCTTTTTGTGGTAACCACATATCAACTCCTGCCTTACATAAAATCGTTTCACATTGTGGACCTATTGCTCTTCCACTTTCGGATTCCAAACAAGTACATTGATTAGCACCTGTGCATTTTCCTTGACCATTCGTACAAGCTCTCGAGTCATTATTGGATTTAAAACCAAAGCATGAATGAGAGGAACAAGTTTCTCCATCATATCCATCTAGACATTTGCATGTGTCCAAGGTTATGCATTGGCCATGGGAGGAACAAACTGAAGAATTGTAAAATGGAATTCCAAAACAAGATGGGAAATTACACTTAGCCCCAAACCATTTAGGATTACAAGAACAAACATCAGGGGAGAGACATTTACCATGACCAGCACATACATTTGAATCGTTTGCTGGTAATCCAAAACACTTTGGAATTTCACAGAATTGTCCAGTCCAATATTGATTGCATAAACACATATCTGTAGATACACATTTACCATTGCCATTAGTACAAACGATTTGCTCATCTTGTGAACTTGTTCCATTACATGAATGAATTGAACAATCAGCTCCAAACCATCCCTTATTACAACTACAAGTGTTAGCATTAATACATTGCCCATGACTTGAACAAACTGAAATATCACTTGAATTCAATCCAAAACATTTAGGAATTTCACAGAATTGACCTGTCCAATTTTGGTTACATGAACACATATCTGCAGATACACATATACCATTGCCATTATTACAAATATTTTGCTCATCTTGTGAACTTGTTCCATTACATGAATGAATTGAGCAGTTACTTCCAAACCATCCATTATTACATTGACAAGTATTATTTGAAATGCAGGAACCATGTTGACTGCAACTTTCACCTTCACTAACACCAAAACAAACAGGTATATTACAATTAGCACCAGTCCATCCATCATTACAGGAACAAGTATCATAATCAGTGCAGTTACCATGCCCATTACAAACATTTGTTTCATTAAAGTGTATTTCGTTACAAGTTGGGAATTCACACTGATCTCCAAAACCTGAACTACAAAGGCAACTGCCATCTTTTTGACATTGACCATGACCATTACAAACAGTCTCAGTATTACTAGCAATTCCATAACAATAATTAGGATCTGATAAATGCGCAATGAATCCGTTTGATGCAGTTGACACAGAAACAGATACATTCTTACCATCAAATTTTGGATTCAAGCCAAGTTTGCCAAAAATTGATATGAATTCATTATTATTATTCTTAATTCCATATGAATAATCATCGTTTGAGCCTCCTTCTTTAATAGCCCAAACAGCATCTAAAGTAACTCTTTTGAAAGCAGCAACCACAATATCTCGTCCTCCACTACTTGTCAATTTGGTGGAACCAATTTGAATTGTACCTGCAAAGTGACCCGTAACGATTACTTCTTGAGTATTTGTGTTGGTATCTATTCCTGTAAATACTACATCACCTTCAATTTCTAGCTTTCTAGCTCGATATGGCTCGGCAGTACCAATCTTCAAGAAGCAACATAAAAATGAGCTTGGTATTTCCACATAACCAACAATGTATATTTCAATTTGTCCGTCAGCTGGAATTATTTTCATATCGTTTGCTTCAGCCGAGTATGTTGGTTGAAACGAAGAAATATACGTACTGTGTTTCCGTGTGAAAGGTTGGGTATTGCTTGGGTCAATTTCATAATAACTAAAGAAAGGAGCTTGTTTTCCATAGCGTCTCTCATTATCAAATAAAGTATAGTCAACAAAATTACCATATACCCAGAAGGAAGTAGTAGATGACTTGATAACCTTCTTTATGAATGTACTTCTTTGGTTAATTTGTTCTATCATTTGCTTTTTTCCCAAGGTCATTGAATCATAAGTTGCAGTGTATAGAGCAGCGAAAGAAGTCATTTCGCATGTATGTGGAAGAGTCAACTCGGACGAATCTTCAAAGATTAATTTGTCAGTATCCTGACTTGAGAGAGAGCATTGAGCATTACCAACCACAACCAAAAAATCAGCTTCCTTGAAATCTAAACGTGCCATACCACTCCATGCAACGTAATTGGTTGCATTGGAATGAACAACTTTGGCCCCATTTTCAACTGTTATTGCTTCTAGGTTTAATCTTGTAATGAATGTTCCTGGTGGAAATTCTTGCTCAGCCATCACTACCGAACCTAAATTTCTAACAGTAACATAAAAGCCGTATGCTGATGCAGTCGCTGAGAATATATCTAATTGCTTTGATGAATAGAGGCAACCCTTTTGAACAATTTCATTTGAGGGTTTGTTTGACGAATACATTACCACACACATATAGTTGGATGGATTCAACCCAGCCAATAATGGGGTGGTGTCACCATTAAAGAAGATTGTTCCTGATTGAAAACCATTGAAAACACCCCAGTAAGCGTATGTACCTTCATTCCAATCGGGTCCAAAGTCATACAAAGTCTTCACATTATCTTGATCAGTTCCAATAGTTGATACGACACCCACTACTTTTGGGTTACTCGCCTCAATGCTGTGTTGAGTACAGAAGCAATACCATAATACAATAATCAACAAGGATGCAATTGTTGCAGTCCTTCTTTGTATTATTGCCATTTTTTTTCTTCACACAACAGCTTCTTTAGCGAAGTGTTTTGTTCCGAAACGCTGAATGAGGGCACCTTAGTAATAGGTAAAATTTAAATCACCATTTTACAATTAATCCTGGCGGTTTAACAATGTGCTCGCTAATTTTTTTGTATGAATAAGGTCTATATTGCCGAATCGTGCGAATGTATTTTCAATTAAGCTTAATAAAGACAATTGAATACCAATATATTATTTGCTGTAGAAAATTAAACCTAACCTTAATTTTTGTTCGTCTTAGCTGGTGAGACTGCGTCTCTATGAAAAGGCAAACAAATCTCTTTTCTTGAGATTGTGTCTCTTCGAGATGAAAAAAAGGCTCAACTAGTGTGTAATGTTTTGATGAAAAGTGGATGGAAGATGTAGTATCTCCTCGCACAATCTGTTAAATAATTCATGAAACATATCCAGTTCAAACACAAATCATTTAATTGGTCACCCTCCAGCTATTAGTAATTTGTGGTGTAAAACGTGTAGCCGGTAAGAGATTTTTCTTTTTCAAGCTAGTACATCTCCTGCTATTTTTGATATGAGATCATTGTCTGATGAAATACCTTCTATATCAATTAATTTAACAGATATTGAAATAATAAATTGTATAGAGAGAGAATATATCACTGGAAATCTATCTACTTCTAATGAATGTCTCTCATCTCTTATTCATTGAATATAATAGTAAAGTATCACAATTATTAAAAGTAAAATGTCTAATTGTGAAAATTACAGGAAAAGATAATTATCTGGTAGAGAATGGATGAATTACATGCTATTCGTGACGTTTCAGTGAGAAGACAATATCCACATCATGAGAAAAACAATAAAATCATGAAAATATCAGATATCCATGATTTTCACAAATTATGCTACAAGACTCGAAATTATACATTTAATAACATAATAAACATTATTAATGGTTGTTTTATTGTTGTTTGGTTTGTAATTGGGCTATGAATCAACTCTGGTAGCATCAAATATCGGAATTTGGTAAATTGACAACATGACGAAAATCTGATAATAAATATGATGTTTATTATCTATTTAAATAGTAGTACTAAAAGACATGATTCAAGTTGGTGAAGTACATGTTGAGTTATGATCCATGTACTTTTTCAAAATTCACATCTACCTATCCCTATCATAACTTGACCAAAATTGATAAGAGAAAGTTCTCCTACCTACTATTGACCATTCCGAACAATACTACATTGACAGTTTTCCAACTTGTCCAGTAGATCCAGCAGTGATGATGAATTTAGTGAAAATTTTTACATTTCACCAAAATTACATTACTAAAAATTAATTTCCACAAATACTATTATTATATTGATGGAAAACAATAATGATGGTTGGTGAATGATCCGATGATGGAACACCAAATTGTGATTTTCCATCATGAAAAATAAATTCCAATTTCATGATGATAATCCACCAATAAAAATTACTATTATTACTACTATATAGATCATGTTGAGATGATGATGTGAAAGTTTGGTGGTTTCATGATGTAAAACCACTCCGAAAATCATCATGCCCATAGAGGACCATTTGGTGAATATTTTTTGATTCTTATCTTGGTCTAGGGAAGATTGTCATAATTACGACCCTCACTTTTTGACCCACCCAACCTCACTGTAAGATCGTCCCAACAAATCCTGGCCACTGCATGTGAGCTTTTTCACACATGTTACCGCTGAAAGTTGAATGTTCTGACCGTTAAATATTCAACAAAAAAAACAACAAACAACAATTACCCATGATTTCATCACCACCCTGCTAACTACCAACATCAGTACCAGGAGGAGAGTTCTCCCTTTGCCTCCTTCCACATCAGCCATAGCACATTCAACCATAACAATCCAGATGAATGCCTGCCCAAAGTTGTTGGTACACAAACAATCAAGAACCCAGAAGTACTTGTTGCTAGCAGAACAAGTGATAATTGATACTTTGAACGCTGTCTCACTCTTGGCTAATAAACCTTCGGCTCTACTTTTGCCAATTTTTGTTTTTGCTCTGCTCTACTTTCTGACCCACTCTGGACCACGTAATTATGGACATCCTTTTTTCACGACCCACCCACCCCCACATAATTATGACAATCTTCCTAGTGCCCTGGCCAGTGTGAAACCTCCACAATGATATAGTTATTGAAGAAAGTAATGATGAAGATGCCTTGCTGAATTACCCGAAGAAAGTTTCCAAAATTCAACCCCACACACTATTGATCAGTGAACAATCTCCAATTAATTGGAGATGGTTTTTGTGATGACCAAGTAGATGTGCCGATTTTGAAGATTTTGATGAAAATCTACTTTGGGGCCAAATAAACTTGCGGAATAGGAGAACTTTCTCTTATCAATGATTTGAACAGCAAATTAACCTGTTCGAGAATATTACAAGAATCCTTAATAGAGTAGTGTAAATAACATTCACAACATTGATTAACATGAGTAGGGACACTACCAAGTATAACACTCTGCTATCCTTTGAGATGGAAGCATAATTTTACAAAGTGATAAGTGTGATATCAAATATAAAAGATTGTTTAGAATGTTGTATTTGGTTTGGCTCTTTGTTGCCGTATTATCCTTAATAAAAGTGACTGACTTACAGCGAGGAAAATTCTCGTTGAAACACTTTTCTTGCTCCGTATCTTAATGCTGCCTTGTCCCGTTTGACCCGTCAATTAGTATCTCCTCTAAATTTACGGTTACTTCTTTATTTGTAACAGTGTTCCGGGCAGAGTACTCTGCTCAGCTTGTAATACTGCCGAGTTTGGATGTTGCATCTTTTTGACGAGGCGCAAAATGAAGATGTTGGTGAAGCCTGGTTAACGGATTGTGAAGAAATAGGAGTATTTATACCGTACGAGTTTCCTCTCTAACAAAAAAATAACATGTGGTGCTTCTATTCAACAACATCAAAGAATGAGGTCATAGCCTTATTACTTTGTTTTTTGATAATTATTTTGAATATTAGCAATAATAATGTGGCGTGCACAGGAACCTACAAATCCATGGTAATTGGAGGAATGTCTAGTGCTTTGAACAATGTACCAATCTCAAGTAATCAAGTTTCTCCTGGATATATTTATTTAGATGCTACGGCCGGAGTATTGTACACGACCGAGTCAGCAACAATTAGAAAGATTACTCTTTCATCAGGTATTATTTCAACTGTTGTAGGTTTTCTAGAAGTTTTTATTGGTTAATTTTATGTAAAGGTTGGAAGTGGTACATATGGATCAACATACACAACTGATCCCACAACGACTCAAATGAGTACACCAAAAAGCTTAATAAGATGGAAAACAGACTTAATTTGGATTGATGGAACAGTTAGAATTAGAAAATTAGATTCATCCACTGGTCAAGTTTCGGTAATTTTTGGTGCTGGAATTGGAAACTCTGACAATACTGTTTCAAATCCTCTCTTGGTTCAAACCGGTTCTTCTTCCTCAATAACTGTAGATCCTTCAGATAACATTTATTATGCAGATTATAGTAAGTATTAATTGTTTGAGGTTCCTTGACTATTGGAAAAGACAATCGGCTGATTAGAAAAATTGATGGAACAACCAATGCAGCTAGTGTTTACAAAACTGGTTTAATAGGTTTTGCAATGCAAATCAAATATTGTAATGGAGGTCTTTATGTTTATGTATCTGCCAGTAAAAACTATATTCAAAAATTGACTGAAAGTGGAGGAACTATTAATGTCACAACAGTTGTTGGAAATGGTGCTTCAAAAAGTACAGGTATTTCTGGAACCTCGTATCTAATGGATACAACTAACTATCCTACCAAGATGGACTGCTACAATAATGAGCTTTATTGGAATGCATATGATTATAGCATTAGAAAACTAACAACCGATGGAATTGTGCAACAAGTTTTGGGTAATGGATATAGAGGTGAGTCAGCAGATGGAACTATTACACCATCTTCAATAATTGGTTTCATTGAATACTTAACTATTGATCCAACAAATGGTGATCTTTACTTTGCTGAAAATTCTTACAACATTAGAAAACTTGTTGGAACTACTTTGTCTTCTTTTTTGCACTACAGAAACGTGTTGAATGAAGGAAATGCCAAAACTCTTAAATTGGCTCCAAGTGCAATTGCTTTATACAGCGATGGATTTTATATGGCTGACTCAACCAGTATTAAGTTTTACAATTTAACAAGTTCAACAATTAAGCATTACGCAGGATTTTTTTATCTTCCTTATAATAACAAAGCCCCAAGTGGATCTGACAATATTGGAGGTTCATATGTGACTGCTAGATATTCTAACATTATATCTATGACATGCACTCCAACTGGAGATATCTATTTGAGTAAGTTTTATATTATGGAATTTTAGAGGTTACATTTTTCATATAACAGTCGATTCTTATTCTACTGGAATATATATCAAATTACTTTCTAAAAGCACTGGTTTAGTAACGGTTGTAGCTGGTGTATCAGCTGGACCAGTATGTGCTAATGGAAACACTCCAACTGCTTGTACTATTATTGTAAGTATTTTTATAATATTGAAATGAATGAATATTAAATGAATATCCAATTTATTCTAGTCTGTCAAATATGTAAAATATTACAATGGTGAGGTCTATTTTGCATTAGACAGTTACATTTACAAAATCAACTCTTTAACTGGCAAGATTGAAGTTGTTTTGGGAGGGGGTGCTTCCACTTCTGATGGTGCATCTTCATCAGCAAATATTGCATCACTATGTAAGTTATCGGACATTTTCTTTTAATTCTTTTAGTTTCTTTTAATATAAGACCTTCTGACGGAAAGATATATTACTTTCAACAAATCGGTTCAACTTTTTATCTAAAAGTTTTCACAGCTTCAACAGTTACAACAATTTGTACTGTAAGTTTTGGGTCAAATGTTTAAACTAACTTAATTAAGACCTCTTCTGTATCAATCAAAGACTTTTTTGTAAACGACAACGGTAATGTATACTACACTGACAGTGGTGCGCTTAAACTTTTCACACCCTCTGCTGCCAATGCTAACACGGGCACAATATCGTCATATGCTGGCAATAGTGCTGGCACATTTAATGATGGAGAAACTCTGGCCAATACCAAGTTCAATACACTTGTAGGCTTAGCTTTTGCCAGCGATAGCAATTTGATGGTAATTGCAGAAATCGATGAACTCAGAAAAATTTACCTTGCATGTGATGTGAATTATGCTGGAGGTTATTGTAATCTCTGTTCAACTGGTTATTTCAATTCAAATTGTTCTTCTTGGACATGTAATGGATATTCAAACTCTATTACCACTGGTTGTTCTAATCAAGGCACTTGTACAGCATATAATTCCTGTAGCTGCTCATCAAATTATTATGGTGCCAATTGCTCAGTCACAACATGTAATGGAATCTTTTCTAATTCAAGTCAGGTTTGTTCAGGATATGGTACATGTTCAACATTTAATTCATGTTCATGTTTTTCAAATTATTATGGATCTAATTGTGAATATTTTGATTGTTACTTTGTAGCAAAAACCAATTCCAGTGTTTGTTCAGGACATGGTATTTGCATGGATTATAATTCGTGTTCATGTTCTTCAAATTACTATGGATCTAATTGTTCAATTACAACATGTAATGGAGTCTTTTCTAATTCAAGTCAGGTTTGTTCAGGATATGGTACATGTTCAACATTTAATTCATGTTCATGTTTTTCAAATTATTATGGATCTAATTGTGAAGATTTTGATTGTTACTTTGTAGCAAAAACCAATTCCAGTGTTTGTTCAGGGCATGGTATTTGTATGGATTATAATTCGTGTTCATGTTCTTCAAATTATTATGGATCTAATTGTTCAATTACAACATGTTATGGGACTTTACAAAACGACTCATCTATTTGCAATTCCCATGGTTCATGTGTTGGATTGGATTCATGTCAATGTAACTCAGACTATGGAGGTCCACAATGTCAATACCCATATTGCTTTGGAAAATTGTCAAACGAAACATCAGTTTGTTCTGGACATGGAACATGTTCTGGTGTTGATACATGTTCCTGTTCTCCTAATTTCGAAGGAAACCAATGTCAACTACTCAAATGTAATGGCATTTCAAAGGATGACCCATCAGTATGTTCATCTAATGGCACTTGTGTGGGTGGTATTTGTCAATGCAACACTATGTACGGAGGAGATTGGTGTGCTCTCCCAAAATGTTTCAATATTCTTTCAAACTCATCACTGGTTTGTTCCTCACATGGTCAATGTAACTCTCCAAATAATTGTACGTGCAATCAAAATTGGGCAGGTGTAGATTGTTCATCACCAATTTGTTTTGGAAAAGGTCTAAATGGTGCTTGTTTAAACCGTGGTAATTGCTCTCAAGTGGATCAATGTGCATGTAATGTCGGATATTTTGGAATGGAATGTGAATTCCACACATGTTCAGGAGTTGAATATAATTCATCACAGGTCTGTAGTGGACATGGTGATTGTCTTTCATTAAATAAGTGTAATTGTACAGCTGGATACTTTGGAGCAGACTGTTCATTGAATGCGGCTGTTACAGTCCAAACTTTTGAATGCTTTGGCATTTCAAGTCTTGAAGATACAGTTGTTTGTTCTGGAAAAGGTGAATGTATAGGAAATGATTTATGTAAATGCTTAATTGGATTTTTTGGATCTAAATGTAATATAACAAGTTGTAATGGAAAGAGACAAGATGATCCAACTGTTTGCAGTGGAAAGGGCAAATGTTTTGAAGATGGTCATTGTCAATGCTCTTATGGATATGGAGATAAAGATTGTCAGGTTAAAACTTGTTTTGGTAAAACTTCACTCGATCCAAGTGTTTGTTCAGGAAGAGGTGTTTGTACTGATATTGACACCTGTCAATGTTTTTCATCAAACGGTGTCAGTATAAAGATTACTGGTGATGAATGTGAAAACTTACTTTGCAAAGGAGTATACAATAATGTTGAAGATTTTTATTCAAGCAATGATTATAGAGTTTGCTCAAAGCATGGTAACTGCTCAACAAGAGGATGTTCCTGTGTTGCGGGATATTACGGAGATAAGTGTGAAATGTTTAATTGCAACTCTATTGCCAAGAATAACTCAAATGTTTGCTCAGGACATGGTAACTGTGTTGGAATTAACACTTGCTCATGTTTTAGAGATAGTGCTAATGGTTTCTATTCTGGATCTGATTGTAACATTTGTCATCCTGCATATGCTGGTCCAAATTGTAATGTTAAAACATGTACTGGTTCAACTTGCTTGAATGGTGGCTCTTGTGGAACTGATAATAGCTGTGATTGTATTGGAAACTTTACTGGATTGATTTGTGAAACTTGTAAATCCAATAGTTATGGATCACAATGTAATGTCTATTGTAATAGTCAATCAACTTGTAATGGACATGGTCAATGTGGATCCAATGGACAATGTATTTGTTTTTCAGATTCCAAGAATGGTTATTGGAATGGTAGCTCATGCAACTCGTGTCAGACTGGTTACTTTGGAAGCGATTGTTTTACTTATTTTGAATCATTCAACTCAACCTATGTCAATGAAATTTATTCTCAGGTTACGGATTACTTTGATGGTGTGATATTTAAGCTATTTGCTCCACCTTCCTATTTACCAAACTCTGTTCCATGTTCAAAACTTATTTACATAGATGATCAACCATTATTCGGCACAGAACTTAAATGTTTCTGGATTAATAAGGCAAACGGTGATTTCAAGATTCAGTTCGATTATGATTTTACTCTAAACTCTTCGTCAGTCATAGGAAACCAGTTTAGAGTGAACAGAAATCTATTTACTACACTTACAAGAAGATTGAACAAACTTGGAGCTTTTTCTACAAGAACCATCATAGATGACACTATTATTTATTTAATGCCTCCAAATACTGTCAAAAGTCCAGTTGCTGATGTGAAGTCATCAAAAAGAATTTACAGTGAAACAGAAGATATAATATTTAGTGGATCATACTCTTTCTCTGGAGATAGGAAAGAACTGGAGTATACTTGGAAGATTGAGGGAAACTCTATCAATTCAACTATTGAAAATTTCTTAAAATCCAACAAGCAAGCAACCATTAAGATTGATAAGGGATTACTAAAACTGGGAGTTTACAAGTTGACACTAGTTGTGAGAAGTACAGTAACAAATGAATTCAGTTCGATTAATATTTTCACATTCCAAATTATTGAATATCAAGTTCCTTCAGTGGTAATTTCAGGTAGTAAGATTATTAGACAAAAGTCAACTGAAAAGTCGGTTCATATCAAAAAGACAACTACAATTCCAGACCATTTGAAGAATGAAACAATTAATATTGAATGGGAACAAATTGAGGGTCCATCCCTTTCATTCAAGAGGGACGCTTACAATAATTTGATTATTGACAGTTTCATTAAGGGAAAGTGGAAATTCGTTTTCCAAATTTCAATTACAGCTGCACAAAATTCAAGTTTATCATCGAGCGATTATGTGATAATTTACACAGAACAACCTGACCTTTCACTTTATCTTTCATTGAAGAGAGTGAGTAATTATTCATCAACAATTCAAGTCAATTATCAAGATCCAGAAAACAACACAGACGAATCTGAATTATGGCAATGGTCGTGTGTCAATTCTGAAACTGGTGGTTATTGTGGAGATGGTGTTGTTGACAAAATGTCTTTCCATTCCAAGAATCATTTAACTCTCTTCAATGTTGACAAATCTGACTTTTCCGTTTCAACTTTACAGAAACCAACTTTTACTCTAAGCATTACAAAAGGAGAAAGAAAGGTTTCATGTTCTATTACTTTGAATTTTGTTCATTTTCCTCCGATTCTCAATATTATTGACATTTCTCCAGACTTTAAATCTGTTGTCAAAAGTGATGAGAAGTTTTCCATTGAAGTCTCTCACTCAAAACAGGATTTATCAGATTCATCACTTTCTATTAAAACTGAATGGAAGATTGACAACTCCATTGTTTCTGAGAGTAAAACTATAAGAATAGAATCAAGAGATTCTTTTTTGACAACCACAATGTTATCAACTTCAAGTTATGTTCAAGTTGTGAGTAAGAATACACAAAGTGCTATTATTATTGATGCTAGGGAATTTGATGAAGGAACTGAAAATAGTATTGCATTGAAAGTTTCGTATGTTCAAACAAATGAATCTAATATTGTTAATGGTATTGAAATTGCTTCTACCGAAATTTCAACAACAATTACAAAAGGAACTCAACCACAAAAATGTCCATGTAGTATTACACCTTCTAATGGCGTTTCCATGGAAACAGAATTCAAAGTTTTATGTGTAAATTGTCAAAATGAACGAAATACTATCCAAATCACCCAAGGATATGTAGATAGTGACACTGGAATCAAAATTCAAGTACCAGTCTCAAAGGAGGATACTGTTAAAATCCCTGCTGTGGTATCCTCTTGTTCAAATACTCCACAATCTGCACCTGTTAAATGGTTCGTTGAATTGACTGATACCCAATCTGGAGAATCAAGAATCATGTTCACAAATATTACAGTGACAACAGTTGTGGTAAACACAGTCGAAGAGATTTGGCAACGGGTGTCCAATCAAACAACCGAAATCATTTTAGCCATCATTCAAGATGGTAATCCAATTGAAAGTATTTCACAAACTGTTAATACAATCGTTTCAACAAGTCAATTGTTGCAAAGTTTACCACAAGTTCAACATCAAGATTCTGAAACAATTACTAAAATTCAAACTCAACTTCTTAGTACACTTACAAGTGCTGTGGAAACTACAAGAGTGGAAACCTCAATTGAGTCAACTTTATCAATGGTTGTTTATGCTGTTTATTCTGTGATTAAGTGCGATGAAATTATTGTTCCAGTAGTTATTGATAAGTCAATTTCTATTTTGAATGAAGTAATTGACCAAGCACTTAAGAGTAATCTTCAAATTTCAACTGAAACAAGTCAAACTGTCTTGTCAATTGTTGAGAATTTGCAAAAGACTGTTGAAAATATTACATCAACTCTTGAACAACTCATTATTTACGATCAATTGGTTAATGTGACTGAACAACTTGCTTATTCAGTTGTTAAGGAACAAACTGTGAGTGCTGATCCGGTTGTTTTACAAACTTCTTCTTTATCTGTCCAAGTGGACAAGATTTATTTCACCGATCTCTCAGACTTTGTCATTTCATCCATTCCAACAGAAATGGAAGGTGTAAGCAAAACTATTCTTGTTAATATCAGCATTCCATCATTTATAACAATGGAAACCACGGAATATGTTGCAATAATTTACTCTATGATTGTTGAGGAATATTCCCGATGTTTTTTTTTTTGGCTTAATCTAGTGCCGAATGTGATTTATTATGCCAACCTATCATAATGTTATTCTTTATTGTTATTATTTAGCCAAATATTCAGCAATTTTCGGAATAATCAATATTCGGACAACAATTGTACTTCTGAATTAATATATGAATGATTGATATTCTGTATAATTTAATGTGATGGTGGTAAACAACAAGTCACACACAGTTTCATTGTTATTCAGTGTGTCTAGACAATCAATTTCTTGTTAAAAAAGAATTGCTTTTGAAATGTTGCAAATAATTCAAGGTCAATCTTTATTTGAAATACCATTTATTGATTTTCATCTTCATCTACTTGAGTATTAAAGTGATCCTTTTCCAAACACTCTGGCTCACAATAAATACAATTATTAAATCTTGTAATTACACAACCTTCACAAATACCATCAAGACAATTACAACAAGTCCTTCTATTGGATAGATTTAATTGGTTTCCACAAAAACAGTGTTCGTCTAAATCTTTGTCTTCATCGTATTCTGCAGGAGTGGTCAAAGTTTTCCACCAATCATTAATACCATCGAATTCGTCAATTTTAAATTTAAAATAATTTTCACAAAATAATTTCACATCTTTAAAATTTTCTTTTGTAAATGAAGAATAATTAATATTTCTCTTAGTAAATAATAACATTGGATAGTTATGATAAAGATATCCAACATAACCTTTTTGTTTTACTTTGTCTTTTGTTAAATTTAAAATTATTCCTAAATCATCCATTAATTTTTCATTTCCACTATTTAAATAAATAAATATTGATTGAAATTTTGAAATAATATTAATATTGTTGTTTGCAGAAACAAAGAGTTCTTTTGATCCTTCCAACATATTTTTCATAATAAGTGGACCATTAAAGTTTAATTTTTTTCTAATT